AAAATTTTCCACAACTGTAGATAATTTTGAAACGGATGAAATTAAATTTTTCACTTTAAAACATATTTTATTTTTTCTTTATGATACTGTTACATCGATGCAATTATTTTTGAATTCATATTTGCCTGGTTGCAAATTTATGTGTAAAAACAATTCAGTTAACGAATTAATTGGATTTTATTCGAATGTTTTGCCTCAAATGCAAAACATTTTTGATGATTTTAAAAATGTTTATCCTGATGAAATTAGTTCATTGACTGATTTAATTAATGATGTTAGAATAGAATTTTTAAATATTGTGAAAAATTTGTTTTCATACATATATAGTGAGGCATTTAAAAATCCAACTGAAGTGGAAGATGTTGTAAACGACTTTACAGTATTGATGATAAATTTATCAGAAGAGCCGACATTTTTTGAAGATTACCTTAAAATTTATCCAGTGACATCAGAAATGTATTCATTTATTGATAATTATATTGTGGACACAGCAAAAGTAAATCACATATTATCATTAATTCCTAACAATGAAACACGGAATCCAAATAGTAACAGTGAAAAGTTTTTATCAAATGCCAACAATTCATCAGATTCTGATCATAATTTATCTGTTCTTCTATCACAAGTTAAAGACATTTTACCAGAGGAAGATGATTCTTTGATAAAATCATGGCTGAAAAACAACAATTACGATGTTGAAAGATTAATTGTAGGAGTCTTGGATGGTTCGTTATGTCTTAATTCGTCGAGCTCCGACAAATACATAAAAGGAAATTTTAATTTTGACAATTTGGAATCGAAAAATGATAGTTATTCAAATAATATTTTATCGGAAAGTAGAAAAAACAAAACGTGGAAACAAGATATTGGGAAAATCGAAAAGGAAAGTTACAGTCGTTGGTTTCACGTTTCGGATCAAATGTACGACGACGAATACGATGATACATACGATGAAAATCTATCTATAGCCTTTAGGGAAGAAGAAGATGGAGAGAAAAGTAGACGGTCGTATATGACCATGAGACAAAATAGAGAATGCGATAAAAGAAGACAAGAAAAAGAATCGGAGGAAGAGGAGGATGAAGATGAGGAGGAACAAGATAGTAAATTTTCAATCAATACAAACGAATCCAAATATCGACACGAAAAAAGAGACGTTGTCGGAAGAGGAAAAGGACACGGACAAAGCAAAAATGTTTTACGAAATAGGGAATATAAAGAAGCGCACAAATCATTTATTGGAAATCACAATAGGAAAAGACAAGCGAAAAAGAAGTTTAATCAGGGATTGATACCGATTTAAACAATTTTTTTCATATAATTAATAATAAAAGAACTTTATTTGTTTATAGATAATTGTAAAAATGTCTTCATAATATATTATTATTATTATTATTAAAAAAAAAAAAAGGAAATAAAAAGTAAATAAAACTTTTTTCTTGTATACACATTGTTGTAATAAAGAAATATTATTATATTTTGAGCAATAAATATGATGGGTTAATATTTTATATATATATATATATTTAATGCAACAAATAATAATTAATTACCTCTATTAATTTATTACATTTATTTAAATAAAAATTTAATTTTTTTTTACTTTTTTTGTATGCGAAAAAATGACATGAATAATTATTTTCTTTATAAAAAAAAAAAAATTTGTTTTTGTACCCTTTAAGCTTAATTTTTTTTTTTTTTTTTATTTAATAAAATAATCAAAATTTCCATAAATCAATCAATAATAATAATAATATAAATAAATAAATAAATTCAGGTAATTCTAAAAAAACAAAAAATTGCCATTTCCCCTACTAAGTTAATGGCACTAAATAATAATTTTTAGTTAATTATATATATATACATAATTAGTTAATGGATTTATTTATTTATTTATTTTTTTACTATAAGTTTTAGTACAATAACAAACGTTTAAATAATAATAATAATAATAAATATCCACCATTTTAAATATGAATTCCAACATTACATTCTCTAACATATAATTATATATATATTTTTAATTTAAATACATTGAATAATTATATTATTTATTTGTTACGTAATAATAAATCATTTTAAAAGAAAAAAAAATTATTTTCTATTATGATAAAAATTACATAATACTAAAAATTTTTAATTATAAATATTAATTAAAATAATTTCCCCCCCCCTCTCTCCCCCATCAACTATTATTATAATAATACTTTATTTTTTATCCCGACCAAAATACTTTTATTATTATTATTATTATTATAAATGAAATACTACGACGTACATTTATTTATTTATATATATTTGTATGAATAAAAAAATGTTTTATATAAATGATAAAAAGTATGTATGAAAAATCGTTATTGATTTTTATTAATTGCATAAAATTCGCATTTTTTACGCAATCGCACTCGTTCACCTTTTAAACACGCACTCACGCACACGCACACGCACACGCACACGTGTAAATTGATTTTTTGTTCGTTCGTTATAAAATTGTTGTAAATAAATATTATTAATAATAAGAAAAAGCGATATTAAAATTTATGTAAATATGTATAACAGGTGTTTTTTTTTTATGTTGTTAGTCTTAACTGATATTAAAATAGTATGAAATGATGATAATATTAATAATTAATTAATTGGCAAGTTAATATTAATATTTTTCCGGCAACAATCCTTCTGAACTTGGAGAAGGATTGTTGACCCTCTTCTACAAATTTTCACTTTCGTTATATTTATAATTGAATCGTAGAGAATCTCTTCGGACGACATAAGACAAAAGAATTCCCAAACCAATTAAACACATTCCCATTGCATTCAATATAATTCCTTCTTCCGGCCAGTTTTGATAAGTTTCTCTGAAGTTAACGGAAACAAAAAAAAAAAAAAAAAAAAAAAAAAACATGCATTATGTTAATAATAAATACCGTCACCAAAGAAAATTAGTTATTATTATTATTATTAAAATTTAATTAAAGGTAAAACAGTCAATGGTAATGAAAATAAATTATTATTAAAAAATGTTTTCCCACATATTTCATTCGTTTTTATTATCATTATCAGATTACCATTGACTGTTTGGAAAAAAAAATTATATATTTATAAGATTATTGCGTGTTTACGAAAACGTGCACGAAAAAAAAAAGAAAAAAAAAAAAAATTATTAACATGAATTTTGCATTTAAAAAATTTCAATTGAAAGATGGATTCGATAGATAGATATTTTTTTTATAAAAAAAAAATTTGATTTTATCATCATTATATAAAATTATTATTAATTAATTAATTAACTTAATTTTTAACTAAAAATTGACATTATTGAAATTTATTAAATGCAAAAAAAATAAAAACCTGAAAAAAAAAGTAAAATGAGATATTATGTTAATAAAAAAATTCTACCCTGAAAAATAAAAATATTTATGTTAAGGGTTATTTATTATTATTATTATTATTATTGTTATTTGAAATTCATTTGTAAATCTCGTTACCAAAAAAAATAAAAAAATTAATTAATTAATAATATCATGTATGAAAATACGCCATTGATGATCATTCGTACAATATTTGCTATAGAAAATTTTTTGTTTTGAATCAATCAATCAATCATTTTATTAAAACCAATCGATATTCAATATTTTTTTACGAATCATCACAAAAAACGTTTTCAATTGTGTGCACATATATATATTTTATATTATTTTTTACAGTTTAAATAATTTTACATAATTTTTTATATAATTAATTTTTTTTGTACTTCATTCAAAGGGTTTTATTCAGTTTAAAAAACTATTTCATCAATTCATTTTTAGTTTTTCCTATAAAAAAAAAAAAAATCAAAGAAATTCTAGTCAAAAATGGTTTTAATAAAATTTTTTTTTTTTTTTTTTGTTTCATCATTTACACGGTTAAAAAAAATGGCTGAAAGTAAAGAAAAATAATAATCAATTAAATAATTTAATTGATTATTATTTATGTATAGACGAAGGAAAAACACCTACTATTGTTTACTACTACAACTACTACTACTAATAATAATACTTTTTTTTAAAAAAAAAAAGCTTCGGATTTTATTCATAACTCATAATAATAATTCATTTTTTTCTCTTTTGTTTCAGATAACTGGAAAAAATAAAAATAAATATTTGGAAACGACAATTTTTGGACGAAAAAAACTGAAATTACAAATCGGAATTAATTGATATCAAATGATGATTTTGATATTTAAAATTATTCTTCATAACAACATAACCGAGAACGATGGCAGATGCAGCAAGAACCATAGATATTGTGTTGATAATTACAGCTTCTTGATTTAATCTTCCAAAATCTGGCCTGCGAATGAATATTATAATTTTTTTTTACCTCAATTACAACCAAAAAAAAAGAAGAAGAAGAAGAAAATGCATTTCATCCAACAAATGTTAGTAAAAACTTTCTTCTAAAGAAGGTAAAACTTGTTTTTTTTTTTAAATTATTGTTTAAGTGATAGGAAAATGTTTTTTATTGTTAAATCTTACCCAAATGTAATGAGCGTTTTTTGAGTAAATCCAGTGAGGCAAGTTGCAACAGCCAACATGAAAGTCGTTATGCCAAAACTGGAATGAACCGGCGTTAAAGATGCCCTAAATGCAGCCGTTGCACCTTCACAACATAGTAAAATCAAAAAGCTGAATGTTCCTACAACAAACTAAAAATTTTACAATTAAAAAATTATGTTTTTAATGAATGAATGAATGAATGAATGAATGAATGCTCTTTTTGCCATCGCTCAAACAATTTTTTCATTTAATAATTCATATTGTAGACCTTTGTAAAACTCTTTCACTCTCTCTATTTGTCACACACACACGCATTAGGTATCTAATCAATTGTTTTTGTTTAAAAATGGTTTTTAAGTGACTAATAAAAAAATATTATAAACAAATGAAAACGTAATAAATGTATTAAAACTTACTTGCAGGATAAACAATCCACAGGTTACCAAACCCAACCAACTGTGAAGGGAATAAAAATTTGGTATGGGAGGTTGACCCAAGTTGTGAAAATCCCAAACGGCTAAAAATCCGACGACAATGCAAGGTATGGCAAGTGCGTGAAAAAGGGCGTGAAATAATTTCACGTAAATTTTTCTGCAGCACCTGCAAATCCTGTAGAGTAATATGGCTAAAATAAAAATAAAATTTTATTTTTATCATAGACTGGTCGCCATCATCATCATCTCATTAATTCTTAATAGTTGTAAAGGTAAGTTAAAAAATGAAAACTTACAAAATCCAGAAAAAAAAATATATCCTGCAACCATGAGAACGGGATGCAAATTAAATTGTTTTTTAGGATTTTCCTGCCATGCGAATCCTCCTCTATAATAAAGTGCCCAAAATAATACCAAAGTTATTGAGCCAACAAGAAGAACGCTCGCCAATGTAATGACCATCATGTATTCGCACCAATTTCCACAACCCCAATCATCATTTTCGTATTGGCTTTGCCTTCAAAAAAAAAAAAAAAAAAAAAAATACATATTAATTAATTTTTACTTTTTCCCCATAATAATAATAATAATGAGTAAAACGTAAAAAATTTTTGACCTATTTTTTTCATCCTTTTAACGACATTTTTAATACGGGTCAAAAAAATTTAGTATGAAAAACTTACGTAGAAAAGAATAAATTTATTAATACCAATTAAATTGACAATTTAATTTTTCTTTAAATGAGCAGAAATTTTAATAATAATAATAATAATAATAATAATAATTGTTTTTTTTTTCTTTCTAGGATTTGGACGAAAGGAAACATTCTGGTGAAAATGGTAAGTCTTGTAAAAAAATTTTCTTTCTCTTTTTTCTTTATTATTATTATTATTATTATTATTATTTATAAACAATAAGGTTTAATGAATTATTACTTAATAAGAGCCGTTTCATTTAATATTAAATTAATAATTTTTCACTTCATTTTGAATTCCAAAAAAAAAAAGTGTAACGCATTTTAGTAACGGTACATTTAATTTTTGCCAAACAAGTTTTTAAAAAAAAAAAAACGTGATGTTCAAAAAAGGCCATTTTTTTAATAATAATTTATTAATTTCAAAAAAAAAAAATTTAACCATCGTTAATAAGAACACCTTTTTATACGTATCTTAAGGAATTATTAATTAATAATAAATAAATAAATAAATAAAATTTGTACTGCGTGGTCGATGTTGCGAAACTAAATATTAACAAATGAAACCCGCAATTAGTCTTCAATTACCCTTTTCAAAATGGTCAAATTAATTTTTTTTTTTTTACTCTATTAATTAAATTATTGTCACCAGGTTTAGATTTTAATTCTTTTATTAATTTATATTTATTATTTTAATCCGATTCTGTATGGTAACGAAATGTGATTTTTCCATTTAAAAAAAAAAGAAAACTTACTTTATTGCTTTATTTCTAGCCATTTCGGGCGAGCCTACTACGATTATTACAAGAGACGCAAAAATTTATTATTGTCAATAAGAAAAAAAAAAAGTTATTTAAAAACAAATTTCACATTGGTAATACAATTTTATATGTATTTTACCAAATCTAGAATTTATCCCTTTTTTTTTTCTGTATGTGTGTGTAATTAGAAATCACATAATTACATTTAAATAGAAAAGAAAAATGCCTAACCAAATAAAAATTAAAAAAAAAAAATTTACGAGCGCACGTCTAGATAAAAAACATTTAAAAACTGGCATCCCGATTCCCTTTCAAGCATATATTAGGCTAAAATGGCCTTTGGTTGTTTTTTTTTACATCATAAGAAGATTTAATTAGTATGAGTGTATAAATGGATGCGACTAGTTATTTTACATTTCGAAAAAAGTTAAAATCGGCTATGGAAAACATTAAATGAATTAGGTTTGCGTTAAAATAGACAAGTTTTTTTATTTCTTATTATAATGATTTTTTTGTTTTTAATACTAACCACATTCATAGTAATTCATAACTTAAATAACAAACGAAAATTTTTCAACTTTAAATTGCAACAACTTCTTCTTCTATCGAGTTAATAATTTTCCAGTATTTGTTTTAAAATCATTTTCCTATTCAAACATTTGCCCGTATATTTATTTAATTTATTAAATAATTTTATTTTATTTTAATAAGAAGTTAAAGTTTGAATCATTCAAACCTTTTAAAATTATTTATACCGGAGTCTTAATAGGGATATATATATATTATTTTAAAAAATTTGCGTCGTGGAAGCAGCAAAGCGTGTGCTTGCGAGTTTCGTGTCATTATGCAATTGAAGAATTTTAATTGCGCTTAAAAAAAACGTACTTTTTGTTTATTTAGTGAATTTTACCGTGATAATAATTTTTAATTTTACGATTTTATTTACGGTGAGATTTTAAATATTATACGATTCTTATGTATCGAAACTAATTCTTTTTTATTATTTAAAAACGTTTGTCGCTTTTATGAAAAATTAATTCATTTTTTTTTGTCGGAGGAATTATTACAGTTCTATTGAATGGTCGGTTTAAATTTATAATCATTCAATTTTAAATATTTCTTTTTTTAAGATTCGGTTGCAAATAACTAAACCCATGCATTAAAAATATACTTAAAAATATTGCGAGAAAATTTTTTTTTTTTAAATAGGCTGCACCGGTCATTACAATTAAAGTACCAGCTTCGTGTGAAAATGACATCGTTTGAAAAAATAATTAGGAATTAACAATAAGCGGCGTAACAAGTAATTTCCCTTTGACAAATGACCTCGCATTCAATGTAGCAAAAATATTTTCTGATGAGGATTTTTCTTTGTAATTCGAAATTTATTAAATATTATATTATTAGTTCATTTTACAAAAAAAAAAAAAAAACACGTTATACTAATTATTATAATAATAATTATTTTACAGATTTAGAATGGATGGCAAAGTTTCACATATTAAAATAAATGAATTATGTGCAACCCTACTACTTGAATCTATTAAAATTAAATGTTTTACTGGAAATCTGACAAAAGAAATGAACAAAAACTCATGAAAAGTATTATTTTTCCTAAGGGCGGTCGATTTTACATGAAAAAAAAAAATTAATACCGACATAATTGTGTGCAGACCCTGGATTTAGCTAGCTACTTCGAGCATCAGACAAAAGAAAAAATATTAGTATTATTAAAATTTTTATTTAAAGGCATTGACTTTTAAGGGATGGTGGGGGAGAAGGAGGAGATAAAAAGAAAATAAGAAAAGATTATGAATTATAAATATTAAATAACTTGGTCAAGATTCTGTGAGAAAAATAATTCTTCTCCAAAGTTCAAGAAAATGGCGGCAAGTTTTTTTTTTTTTTTGTAATTTTCTATGGTGATGGTAATTTTCCTTATTTTTTACTCATGAGAAAAATCATCAAAAACATTGTTTTAAATGTAATTGATTGATTAAAAAAAAGTAAAACTTACTTTTTTGGAGAATTTCCAATGGAATGAGCCGTCGCTGGTGGAGGAGGCAAATCATCCAATGGAGCTGTTACCGATGGAGAAAATTCTTCTGGACTGGGGGGCGATTTATCAAATTCTGCCATTGGAGCCACTTCTGGCATCGGAGATACCATGTTCGTATCCATATTTTCAATCTCACGTTATCGTATATTATAATATTTCGATTAATTAAAAAAAAATAATTCAAATTTTTTTTTAGGTACCTATATTGTTAAATAATTCAATAACAACAAATATCATTATTAATTTTCTTTTATATATATAAATTTAAATTTCAACTTAATGAAAAAAAAAGAGTTTACCATAAAAATTAGGGATTTGTTGTTTGTTTGTTTGTACCACCAATTATCATATTTTTTCCAAAATCCACAAATATTATATCATCATTATTATTATTTTTTTTTCGGTTTCCACCCCGAAATTAAAAAAAAAATAATAAAAATTATTACTGTATAATTTTTTTAAAATAAAATATATAATAAAGACGATCACATAATTTTAAATGGAATCACTCGAGTGAGTAATAATAATAATAATAATAATAATATAAATTAATACGTTAAAACAAAACAAAACAAAAAGAAAAAGTATGTATATATATAAAATGAAATAAAGAGAAGAACAACATTCGCGTTTACTACTGACAACTGTTTTGAGCGAAAAAGCTCTCCTCGATTCTACAACATTCTAGGCCCTGGATAAAGTTTTATACTGCAAAAAGGGTCCTTTTATCCCATTTATCCCTAAATTTTTATACCTTTTTTATTTTTAACAGACTAGAACCTTTTGCATGATGATCATTAGTTAAAAAAGGGCTTATACGAAACAAAAAAAAAAAAAAAAAAAAGGAAAAAGGAAATTGTTTCATTTAAACAAACCGTATTAAAACAAACAACAAAAGTTTTTTTATTTATTTTTCTTTCTCCCCTCCCATTCCCATTCTCCCCTCCCCTCCACACTCTCCAAAAATTAATTTGATAATTTTACATACGCTAATATATATTTTTTCAACGCGTTAAAACAAAACAAAAACATTATTATTATTATTATTATTTTATCACGATGAAAAAAAAAAAAAGAAATTTTCCAAGAGATTTTTCATTATTTATTTATGAAAAATTTATTAATAATTAAAATGATTTTCCGTGAGATTTTTGATGAAATTTTCCAGTTTTAATTTTTTTTTTTTTTTTTTCGGTGAGATAAATATAATAATAATAATAATTAATATACTTATACGATATATTATTATATAATAAATTACATTCGTTAATTAAGGTCAAGTTTATTGTAATAATAATAATAATTAAGAATATAACTTAAAAATATATCTTATAAGATAATAAAAAATTAATTTTTTTTCTTTTTTTTTTTTAAGGTACTGGTGGTAGAGAGAGAGGGGGGGAGGGAAGAGAGAGAGAGAAAGTGGATATTATTAATTGATATTTTTTATATAATATCAAAATCCACGCACCTACGCCACGAAAAAAATTCCAGATGAAGAAGAAGGCCACGCCTAACAAGATATGACCTCGATGTATATATAAATTGCAGTGCAGCGCTCCTGATGTTGCTTTCCTGCTCCTGCGGTCGCACATCTTAAACCAACAGCAAAAAAAAAGGTAGTTCAAAAGGGAATAATTATTATTCCCCTTTTTTTTTTTTTAATAAGTCCTTTGAATTAATAATAATAATGATTTATTTTAATTAAAAATATTTATATAACGTAAAAAAAAAGTCAGGGGTAAATCAGGGATATTTAAAAATATTAATTAATATATATATATTTTATAAGAGTAGAATGAAATAACGTAAAAAAAAAAAAATTAAATTATGGGAAAAAAATTTTTAATTTATTCTCTTCTTTTTCTTTTTCCGGACATGGAAAATTATATAATATTTTCATATTAATTACCTTTTGTATTAAAATTTGAAATTTTTTTTGATTTTTTATTCGGGAAATTAATTCTAACAAAAATTTAAATTATGAAATAACCGTTATTTGGTGTTGGGTATTCTAAAAATCTATTATTATTAACATTTAATTCTTTTTTCTTATAAATAAAAATTTATTAATTAACAAAACTTTTTTTTTTATAAAATGGAGATTTTCTTTTTTCAGTACTTATTTCTCTTTTATTTTTAATAATAATAATTACTGGGAATCGTTTTTATTAATTGACAAATAATAAACAAATTAAAACAATTTGGAAATTTCAAGTTAACTTGATTAATTTTTAAATAATCATGACCTATGACCTTTCAACGGTTTATTTTTTATTTTAAATAGGAAATTTAAAATAATATTTTATTTTTTTTAAAAAATAAAATCATCATTTTTGCCATTAAAAACTTAAAAATATTCTTTACTCTGATTTTTTTTTTTTTTTTTTTTACATAATATTTATGAGGAAGTATAAAAGTTTTAGGTGAATGTACACATATGTACAGGTTTACAAAACAAGTTACCTTAATAAAAATAATAATAATAATAATAGTAATTTCTTTACATGAAAAAAAAAATAAAAAAAAAAAGAAAAAATTAAATATCAAAAAAGAAAATATTCTCTATAATTTAAAAATTAAAATTCATTTAAAAATATATCAAGTTAATTTGAAAAATAATAAAAAGCATGTATACATACTAAACATATTTATTTTCATAACACCCACTTTTTTTTCACTTTAAAGTCTTTACCTCATACTTTTTACCCTTCTTATTAAAAAAAAAAAAAAAAAATATCAAATAAACTCTTGAACACTTAAAAACCGAAATAATTCTCAATAAGTGTTTGTTTATAATTTTAATTTTTTTTTTTTTTTAATTCACTTACTCTCTTTTTATTCGTTTTTTTTTTTATTTCACACTGCACTAATCTTGTTTTCTCTTTCTTTCTTTCTTTTAATTGTTTTTAGAGTAAATTATTATTATTATTATTCTATGGGTATGTTATTAACTATAATGTTTCATCTGATGCTACAAATGTTTGAGCATTTTGAACTTTTTCAGGTCTACAATAATGTTTCATATGAGTTGTCAAATTGACTTTTTGTTTAAAGTACTTACTGCATCTAGGACATATGTGAACTCTTCCACAATCGTCTCTCACATGATCTAATAAATGTCTTTTATTTTTAAAACTTTTATGACAATTTTCACAGGTGTGTATTTGATTACAATCATGTCTTAAGTGATTTAAAAAACTCGATTCATGCTTATATAAACCTCCGCATTTGGTGCAACTGAAGTTATAATCCTCTCTGTGTATAACAGATCTGGGTTTTATTCTAGATTTACCAAAAACAGCAGCCATCTTGTCAGGTAAGTGCTTTTCTTTAAATATTTTGTTTCCACCATGATCATTTAACTCGTGAGCCGATTCTTGAATTGCTTCTTCATTAAAAATTTCATCGATTACTTCAGCAGTTACTTTTTCATTGCTCAAATCATTTGACATGTCCATTTCTTTCAAAGTCCCTGTTTCATTATCTACTAAATATACTTGATAATTTCCATATTCATTTTTGATTTTTATTTGATCTACTTCATTGGAATCTTCTTGTGCAATATAATCAACTTCTTCAGAATCACACTTAAGTCTTTTATGAGGCATGCAATCTGGCTCCCCTGCAGTCATATCACAATCGTCAACCCTTTCAATATCTTTTGAATAATTGCTGCATTTGGAATCTTGTTTATTTTTTTCATAGACTCCAGACAACCCTGCAATTTGTAGTGTTTCTGCTGCTTTGAGAAAAGATGATAGCTGGTCATGAGTAATGTTAACTTCCCCTTTGTACATGTATTCAATGACACATTGAAGTTCAAAAAATGAGACATCCCTTAGTAAAATAATAGGGTGTTTGTCATAATGCTTTTTTAGTAGCTTGTTTAAAAAAGGGCTGCATGCAGAAAGGACAACCTTGTGAGCACTTATTTCTTGGCCTTCTGCAGCCAATGTACAATCAACATACATTTCATCATTGAATAATGTTTCAAGTACAGATATTAGAGTGCCATGATGATTTGACCATTTGACACAAAATTGACTGTCTGTGTCCACTTCAGAGTCCAAATTTATTTCCATCATCTATAAATTAAAAGAAAATAACTCATTAATCAAAACAATTTTGGAAAAATATAATAACTGGTTGTGATTTTGCTATTTGACTTCATGGCTAGTAGTGGGTAATTCTTCTTGTTATATTCAAATTTATGTAAGTAACAACAAAATTAAGTGTCACTCAATAAAATGTACAGGGTCCTACTTTACAAATTTCTAATTCATTCCGTTATTTAAAAAATAACATTAATACAGTAATGCTTTGAAAAATTAAAGAAATTTCAAATGAATTTGAAAAATAAATTTGGTTTATTAAAAAAAAAAACTTACTAGAGTTAGAAAAAAAAAGTACTGATACAATATTACTATTGAAAAAAATCAAATGCCGTCTAATTTAGACAGAATATTAAAATAAAATGACTCAAGGAAAAGTTTTAAATAAAAATAGTTTTTTAAGCACTGTATTCAATTATCCAAAACAAATCAACAATTCGATCACGCCATTAAACTGTGTGGAAACTAGAGAACGCAAATTTACTTATTCGAGGAAGTCACATATAAAATCAATGCCTCCGTTGTTCGATTTGGAATTTCATTATTTAAATATTCTTTTATGCGGCTTCGCTCAGCATGAAAGTTGTTTCATTCGGAAAAAAACAAAAAAGAAAATTAATTTGAAAAAATTGTATTATTTTTTAATTTAGTTATATAATTTGTAATTATTTGTTTACGGAAAACAATGTGAAATTATTAAATTTCAAATCCTAATTATAAAAGGTTAAAAGGAGGCAGGATTCAGTAAAAAAAAAAAAATTCTATACATCTTAATCGAAATTTTTATTTAAAAAAATATTAATTTATTATAACTTAAAATGCTAGTAAAAAAATAGATAAACGACTTAAAATTGCCCGTTTTTACTTAAAAAATTAAATTCAAAATAAAATACACGCTATTAATAATAATAAAAGCATAAGGCTGAATTTGCTTCGTTAAAGCTTTTTCGTTTAACTTTTTATATAATTTATTTTAAACATTGTATTATTCTAATTTTTAAAAAAATAATTAAGTCAAGTTTATTACATATATATTTTCTCTTTAATTTTTACATTCAAAAAAATTTTTTTTTTTTAAAGTAAAATAAATTTTGCCGCTTTTTTTTGCGATACATTTTAAATTGGCCATTTTTGCCACATTTGTTAAAATTTTGACTTTGAATTTGTCTGGCAACCCTGATCGCATTTGTATCTTAGTGAAACGTCATAGCTTTAATTTTTTTTTTGTTAACATTATTTGTATTGAAAAATTAAAAACATATAAATAATTAATTTATATTTAATTAGTGTAATAAGGTTTTTTTTTACGTTTCTAATGAATTAAAAAGAATCAATATGATTTATAGAAAACGTAACGGTTCTAACGAATCAGACTTTGAAAGTGATATGAATGAGTTACCCAGTGACAAAAGTTTTCAGTTTGAAAAACTCAAAGGTGACAGAGGAAATGTTGCTATACTATTTTTCTTATATTTACTTCAAGGCATTCCTTTGGGTTTAATGCAAGCGATTCCTATTATACTAACAAATTCCGGTGTTTCATATAAACAGCAAGCAAAATTTAGTTTAGTTAATTGGCCATTTAGTTTAAAGTTGTTGTGGGCCCCAGTGCTTGACTGTGTTTATTGGGACAAGATGGGCAGAAGAAAATCTTGGTTGGTTCCAACTCAGTATTTAATTGGAATTTTAATGTTGTTTTTAAGTTTTTATGTAAATGACTTGTTGGGAGGTAATGGTACTGAACCCAAGATGGAACTTTTAGCTTTATCATTTTTCTGTTTGAATTTTCTTGCTGCTACTCAAGATATTGCAGTTGATGGATGGGCCTTAACAATGCTTAAAAGGTATTACCATATAAAATTTATATTATGCTTTAAACTTCACAATTAAATTGTTTAAATTTATAAATTATTTTTAAAAAATGCATATATTTTGAATAATTATAATAATATTGATATATTTTTGTTTTGTGAATTAGGCAGAATGTATCATATGCTTCTACTTGCAACAGTGTGGGTCAAACTGCTGGATATTTTTTGGGCTATGTATCATTTTTAGCTTTAGAATCTGCAAGTTTTTGCAACACATATTTAAGAAAAGAACCTCTCGATCGAGGGATAGTTACTTTACCAGGTTTGCATTTACAACATACATTTATTTTTTGTAATCACTTGTTTGGTTTATTTATTTTTAATTGAATAAATTTATTTATTTTTTTTTTTGTTTTAGATTTTTTATATTTTTGGGGATGGATATTTTTAGGAACTACAACTTTAATTTGTATTCTTAAACATGAAAAACCTATTTTTATAGACAAAAATGTTTCAGTTGTGGATTCGTATAAGTTGCTCATAGAAATATTCAAATTAAAACCTATTAGGTACAAGTTAAATTTAATTGCAATGTTGAGATTTAATATCAATTGTGTGACTGATTTTCTTTCATGATGTGATTATTAATTATTTTTTAGATTGTTAGCTGTTGTTTTGTTGACTGCTAGAGTTGGGTTTTCAGCATGTGATGTGGTTACAGGACTCAAATTGGTAGAAGCTGGCATCCCAAAAGAGAAAATGGCCTTACTCGCTGTTCCCCTTGTTCCTCTGCAGGTTATATTGCCTTTTCTTTTATCTCGAAACCTTACTGGAGAAAATCCTATGAGTGTGTTTTTAACTGCCTACCCTTACAGATTGGGATGTGGCATTCTTTTCAGTATTTTAGTTGCAGTAACACCTTATTTTGTTGTGAATCATGAAATGTCAATTATATATTGCATTTGTTTTCTCATTATTTATTGCTTTCATCAGGTAATGTCAAATGCTAATTTTATTTTGTTTAAGATAATATATATGTATTAATTAAAAAAAGAAATTTTTTTTTTTTTTTTTTTCACAGGTAACATCAAATAGCATGTTTGTTGCTCAAATGGCATTTTTTGCTAAAATTAGTGATCCAACAATGGGGGGAACATACATGACGTTAGTAAATACTATAGCAAACATAGGAGGTACTTGGCCGCAAGCTTTGGCTTTGTTATTTGTAGATTTATTAACATTTAAAAAATGTTCTAATTCAGAAGGGAACAAGTGCATTAATCATTCCGAAGTAGGAGTAAGTAGTTATTTTTATAGGGCTTATTCGGTTTTAAGTTGTTGTTGTTCCATTCGATAAACCTTTTAAATAAATGTATAAAAATATCAAATTACTAAAAAGCATCGTTTCGGATTTATTATTATTGAAATTTAACTTGAAATAATTACTCTTATTGTATTTTATCGCGTTAATTTCAGTCAATCGATCATTAATGAAATTTATAAATAACTAAAAAAATTTTTTTTTTAAATTTCAGATGTGTGAAAAAGATGGAGGAGTTTGCCTTACAACAATTGACGGGTACTACATTGAAATTGCATTGTGTACAATAATCGGTTGTATTTGGTTTCTTTGGGGTAGAAAAAGTATTAAAAAATTACAATTATATGGTATCAATTCGTATTCGGTTCAAAAACAAAGTTATAATAGATAACGATATGTTTAACTTTAAAAAAAAAAAAAAAAAGAAAAAGAAATTAAAATTTTATAAAATAATCTAGCGATCTCAATTAGTTAATTTAAATCGGTGCTAAGGAAAACAAAAATAAAATAAAATAATAAATAAATTATTTTGAAATATTTTTTTTTTTCGCTTTATTAATATGTGTTGACGTTATTTTTAAAAATTTGTTTCGTTTGATTTTCATTTTTTTCTTTTCTTTTCTTTTTTTTTTTTTTTTTAAATGGGTGATACAGTACAAAAATAATTTAATTAAAACTATTAAAAACATAATAATGCGAATTTTATTTAAGTTTAATAAATTAATTTTATTAATTGAATTTAAATTTATTTAAAATATTGTTATTATTTGTTTTTTTTCTTTAATATGAATCCAATATGTTTGTTTATTAATTTTATTATTATATACGTATTAAAAAAAATTTTTTGTTGTGTTAACTTTTTGTTTTAGTGGTACTTTATTAGAATTAATGAGTTAATGTAAAAATGTAAAATATTTTATGTTGGAAAAAAAGTTTTTCTAGTTCTTTAGCAGTATTTGTTACCATGACGACTTAGTATCCAGTTTCTAAGGATACGGACAGACGCTCAACTTTCATCTAGGCGTGACGTTTTCCCTCTTATCACTTGAAAATTCGTCGCGTCAATTTTCAGGTATTCGATTCTAAGACAGTAAATAATAATAATTATAATAATATATTGGAAAACAAACAAATCAAACATAATTGGTGAGTTTTAATTAAAAAAAAAAAAAAAAACTCTAAATGTTTCCTTTAATTTTTTTTTTTTAAATCGCAATATGATATTCAATTAATTTAAAATAATAAATTAATAATTTATTTATTATTATTATTTAAAGACCAAGGAAAAATAATGCAAAGAATTTTCCGATCGGTATAAAATATAAACAATATGTTTTTTTTTTTCAAAAGTAATCCACAACGAACAATAAATAAAAATTAAGACTTGAAATTTTTAATTAGGTTTTTTTTTTATTTACTAATAAATTTTTTTTTGTTTTTTTTTTTCCAGAGTCCAGTTAGTAGATAAAAGTTTTGAATCGTAAAAGAAAAAAATTATTAAATTCAATAAATAATCGTACAAAATGAAGACATCTTCATTTTCATTGAGAGTTATGAGAAGGGTAAGTTTTTTTTTATTATATAATTTTAAATTTAAATTATTTTTTTTTAAAAAAAAAAAAGCCAAGAGATTTTTTATTATTATTAAAAATCTTAATTAACCATTGACGTGTAAATACTATTTTCAATATGCAAAGATGTTGTGGACCAAAACTTCTGACATGTTCTAGAAAATTTATTGTTTTTCTTTTTTAATGATTTTTTTTTTTT